TGGCAGCTCTTGCCCATTTCTTGAATTTTCCCAGATTCGCTTTTAGTGTCATGAGGAGAATCTTGCCTGAGGATAAGGTTGAGTCAGTGACAGGCATGAGCCTCACAGCTGATGGAAATGGTGCAGTTTTTGATGTGAAGAAAGAAGATGTTGACACTTTCCTAGCTGGTAATGTTATAGTTTACTGGTTAATCATATAATTTCCTTAGCTTGGCAAGTACTTCCTTGTGGGGCACCTGTTTATGCATGAAATCTGCGCTCTTGAATAGCATGATTGGCTTCTTTTTGGCCTTAAATTTGATTTCTTTTTATCTTTTGTTTGCAATACCTTGAGCTGTGATGCTTTTGTTCATTATTCTTCTCTTCCTTGGCCACTGCAGCTCAGGAAAATGCTGCTGGTGTGAACATAGAGGTGGTTAAAGCATTGCCATCTCTGCAAGAAAGAGACCGACCAAGGGGTAGATTTGGTGGTGGTGGTCGTGGTAGAGGTGGTTTTGGTGATAGGAGTGGTGGTAATCGGTTCTCAGGGGGAAGAGGTGGCAGGGGTGGTGGGTTCTCAGATAGAAGAAATGGCTCTGGTGGCTTTAAAGGTCGCAACAATGGGAACAAGTGGTGAATTTTTTCAGTTTGCCCCAGAAGTTCATGGACAACAGAGCAATCCTTAACAGTTGTTACAGGCTGAAGAGTTTTCTGACAAGGAAGAAAATTTGAAAACGCAACTGGCTTGCCTGGGGAATTTACAATCTTTGTTGGCTAGATATAGATTTTTCCTGCAAGTGTATTATCCTAGGCTTGATAAAAAAAAATTATGCCATATTTATTTCATTTTGAGGGGATTTTTTCTGTGTTCCCCGTGATTGAATTTCAACGAAAATGTAAGATCAGGTGATAAGATCTCTAATATTATTTGATTATTGAACATTCCGAATCTATGAATTAACTTTTATGAAATCTCAAAATATATTTTATTCTCTTAGTTGCCCAATGCGCCTTTAATCTTTGTACACAATGCTCTTGATATAATGTTGCCATCGAGGTTCAGGTGAGATGTAATCTGATTAGCTACTTATTGTTTGATACATCTTTTCAAGTCGTGCTTGGATCGAAGTCCATACAAGTAGATATGGCTTTATTTTTGAGTGAGGGTAGATTATAACTTTGTTCCTTTTGGACTTAATTAATCCTTGTAGTGGTAGAAACTGTATAATTAATTTGTATATTTTAAAATTTATTTATAATTTTTTTTTCTGTTAATTTCCTATCTTAAAAAATAGAATGAAGGAAGCAGAAAATAGATGAAATATGGAAATTTGGGTATGGAAGAATGTGTTTTTGGAAAAGAATTTAAATTAGAAGGTGGTCACCATCACTTGGATGAATTTGGGCGTTATTGTGCTTAAACTCCTCTCTAAATGAGTATATTAACCAAAATTTATCATCTCAAGAACTCTCATCCATGAAATTCGTGTGGTGTAACTTGACCCTGAAAAAACATATTGACTTCGTAATCTTCAATTAATCAGGCTGTGTTAACCTATGATCCTGTTGACTAAATGCTAGCTGATGCTCATTTAATTAATATATTGATCTGATAATCCATAACTCGAGTTAGTTTCTCGAGATGAATTCTCTCACAACAAGTATAGCATAGTTGTTAAAATTGGTTTTATTTGACGGGTTAATTCGAGGAATTTGTAACCTTACATAGACTGTGTTTTAGATTGAACATATAATTTTAATTTTACCTCAAAATAACTTTTATATCAATTTCGTTCCTCATATTTCAAAAGTTCTCAACTCAGCCTCCCTGAACATGCAGTCATCTAAACTGTATCTTCTTTTTCGTGATAAGAGATGCCGTTTTGTAGGTGACTTGCGCAACCTTTTCCGATGAAGTAATTCTCATACAAGGCCTAAATTAAGAAAGCAAAATCATTTAGGGATACAATTGATACAAAGATGTGTTTCGGTTGCAGAACAAAAATTGTAGTAACACATTTGGACCCATATAACAGACCGGTTCGACTACTTGTCCTTCCTTAGGAACAGAACTCCACCGCTTCACCATCTCCACGGTCACAACGTTTATCATACACCCTCAAACTTCCAGACCCGTCTTCAACAGCCTAGGGCCCAAGCAAACAGCCCGACACGATGCAAAACAAACGACTCACAACATAAAAAACACACAACTCCATGACTTGATGAATCTGTGGCCATAAAGTTTTGATCTTGATCAAGAAATCATGGGGTGTGACAGGAAAGCAAAACTAGCTCTCGATGCTTTCAGAAGCTACACGTCGAAGATTGTGACAAGACCTTCAGCTGAAGAATCAGCTTTCTCAAGAATTTATCAAGATGGGTCTTTGAGTTCTGCTTCAAATCCAGTTAAGTTTTCTGGGTTCTCAAAAAGGTGTAATTTTTATCAAAGATTTGGATCTGGTTCTCAAATGGGTGTTAATAAAATTAATTATAATCCTTTTCTTGGTAATGGTATTGGTGCAAAGAGATTTTATTATGTTGATAGGTATCGTGTACAACATTTTAAGCCTAGAGGGCCTAAGAGGTGGTTTAGGAATCCAAGAACTGTTTTGATTGTTGTTTTGGTTGGTTCTGGTGCTTTTATAACTGTTTATTATGGTAATTTGGAGACTGTACCTTATACAAAAAGAACGCATTTTGTGCTTTTGTCAAAGACAATGGAGAAGAAGATGGGCGAGACTCAATTTGAGCAAATGAAAGCGGCTTTTAAGGGGAAGATGTTGCCTGCGTTACACCCTGAAAGTGTTAGGATGCGTTTGATTGCACAGGATATTATTGATGCTTTGCAAAGAGGGTTGAAGCGTGATCTGGTTTGGAGTGATATGGGGTATGCATCGCAGGAGAGTGATATGGCTCATGAGGCAAGTGCTCATGAGACTTTGAAGGCTTTGAGTGAGAGGGAAGAGAAAATTGAGGGGAAGTGGTATAAAGAAGATGAAATTCTTGATGATAATTGGGTTCAACAATGTAGAAAGAAAGAGAAAGGGTTGAAGGCAGATGCTTCGCATCTGGATGGATTGAATTGGGAGATCTTGGTTATTAATGAGCCTGTTGTTAATGCTTTTTGTTTGCCAGGGGGGAAGATTGTTGTGTTTACTGGATTGCTTGAGCATTTTAGAACTGATGCAGAGATAGCTACCATTATTGGGCACGAGGTATATCTATTCTATACACGTTTTTGGTATTTTAGAATTGTAGTTTATTACTATTTTTAGTGTTGGGTTGAAGATGATTGTTTTTTGTTTTGTTGGATGCTTTTTTGTTGATTAGGTCGGGCATGCTGTGGCACGACATGCAGCTGAAGGAATCACAAAGAATTTGTGGGTTGCCATTTTGCAACTCATTTTGTACCAGTTTATCATGCCTGATATTGCAAATGCAATGTCGGTTCTGTTTTTGAGGCTACCTTTCTCCCGAAGGTATGCTTCTTTGGTTCAACCTTTATTTGCATTGTTATTTACTGTATGTAAATTGTTGGTTTTGTATTCTGTAATGTTGTGGCTGGCAATATGTGCACGTATATTTCATGCAAGCTAAGAAAACACTTTCTGGTCATGGAATAATTTTATGAATGCATTTTGTTAAGCTTGTCTCATATGTGCTATAGGCTTGAAGCCAGACTGCCTGGACTGGTAGGAGATCACTGGGAATCAAGCAATTGTAAAATTATTGTTATTGAATCTGGTGTTATAGCATGTAGTTTAAGTGTGTGGATAACATTGTTATTAGCTCTTAGTATAAGCAGTTAATATTGATGTATTCTTAGGTAATATTTGATAGAGAATACAGCAGGTGTAATTTGATTTTGTTGAAAGAAATTCATCAGTTCCTTTCCTAGGAGATTCAAGATCCATCCTGCTGGATTTTTCCTAGTGGAACAAAGATCCATGTAGATCAGAATGACGTATTATGTATGTGAGTGGCAAGTTGCTTTTGTGCTTTCAACCTAGTACAGTTTGTGAGATGTATGGATCATAACACATTATATGGATTTGATAGTCCTACCTGAGTTTAGCTATTCATTGGACTGGTCTCAGGGAGATCGAATGACGTGTCTCTAATTTTGGCCAACAGTAACATGCACAAACAGCAGCTAACCCTTACATCACATTCAATACTGCCTCGAAAGATTATTGATCTCTGTAAAATCATGCGACACTTTCTGAAATCTAAATATATTCAGAGGATGGTAGAAAACCAGAAACTACATGGCATCTAGTGAAGCCCTTGGTTTGTGTGATTCTGTGAAGAGCACCCATAGATCCTACCCATCTCTTTCTAATTGTTGTTTGCTTGCTTTCAGTGCAATGTATCTTTCTTGCATCTCCCCCTCTCATCTTGGTTTCCATCCTCTTCGAAGTTTAAGAGCCCAAGGTGGATGGTGCCACGATTTTATAATTTCTAGAGGCTTAAAGATTAGCTTCACCTTAGTCTGGGCACCAATTCAATTCCCCTTATATCTTGGATTATCACTGTTTACAAATGACAAGATCATCAATGAGACAGAACAATTTGCTTTTATTTTTCTGGCTATGACTGATACTTGCAGTGGGCAATGAAATCATACCATGCTTTCTAATTTCTCTAGATAATTCTTGTTATTTGTTTATCTGAAACTAACCTCAGTATATTCTATCCAGTAGAAGGTACAATAGTAATGTAAATCTGGTCCGCTGCTAGATCTCACACATTCCAATGTCTTTTGTTTCAGGATGGAGATTGAAGCAGATTACATTGGATTATTATTGATGGCTTCTGCAGGATATGATCCTCGCATCGCACCTAGAGTGTATGAGAAATTGGGAAAGCTCACCGGAGATTCAGCACTCAGAGATTATCTTTCTACCCATCCATCTGGAAAGAGGAGAGCTCAATTGCTTGCCCAAGCTCAAGTCATGGAAGAAGCACTTCATATTTACAGAGACAGGATAGCAGGACGTGGGGATGAAGGTTTTTTTCTTTAAAGCAGCACCAATCTCCAGTAAGTGTACACTGGAAGTTGCAGCTGGGAAAGAACAGAGCTTCAATGCTTCTCTCTTACCTTACAGTGCAAGGCTAAGCTTGCGAGTTGATCTTCTTTTCATCCCGAACCCTTTCTTGTATTTCTGGCAACTGTAATTACCATCCACTCCATGAGGATAAATAGCTTTGTATTGGTTCCTTACCTTTTCTTTGTGATCTGATATAAGTTTCTTATATGCTTACTTGTTTATCCCTCCACTTGTGCATCTCTTTTCTGATTGCTTCCTAGCAAAACACAAACTGCATGAAGTGGAGATCTGGGCTAAATAACCCAGCTTTATGTTTATTCAACCATTTAATAAAGTCTCTTTTTTATCTTTTGAGGATCTATCAGTCTATTAATTATCATTTGCAAAAGGCCTCAGCAATTTCAACATATATGGACAGATTAATTACCTGGTCTCAAAGCGGCTTTGTTCTTATGAGGATCACCAAATTGCATGGGAGAAATTGTAATGAAGTCTGGGACAGATCCTTCACTAGCACTGCTCCAGCAGGTGGCTGCCATTTAAAGCAGGCTTCGGTCCTTGCAGACATTTTCCTAATGTGGTCTCTGCATCCAATTTCCTTCCAACTTTCCTTTGATTATTGAAATGAGTCTTGATTTGTGCAAAACACCGTGCCCGCTTTTTATGACAACTGTAAATTGGACAGTAGGATCATATTGAAAAATTTTCTTGAATATCGACCAACTAAATTAAAAAAGTAGCAGGCTATAGCATGATTGATCTTGATGATTTTGTTCATGAGTTATCAGAAACAGCTTCCCCAGATGTTGTGATGGAGGGAAATATTTTGGGTCTTGACTGCATAAATAACGAGATGAGGATTGAAGGTATATTGTTGCATCATGCAACTCATTCTCCAATGACTGATTTCCTGATAATGTGAACATTTTGATAAGATGCCAATGGAGCCAAGATTTGCTTCTGGTATGGTGAAATGTATTAGACAATCTAAGAATTTTCTCTGCAGAATCCATCTATCATAGTACTGTATAAAAGTTTCATTTTGCCATGTCTTTCATATGCTGGCAATCTTTTTTCTTGACTTTTTTGTCCACGTAAATATTTGTCTCCATGCATGTTGTAGAGTTCGTGTGTAAAAGGAATCTGGATCCCATTATTTTTGTTAAATCTTTGCACGTAAAGCCAGGCTTGTGTTCGGCTAAAGCAGGCGACTAGGTCCAGGACCAATTGGATAATCATATCCATTGATAAGCACATATAAATATAATTAAACAAGTTTCTTGTTTGAACATTATTTGATATATCAATTAATTACAGGTAAAACAAAATACATCGTTCTCACAAGTTGGTCCCAATGAAACTCTCAATGCAAGAAACGACCCTAATAGAAGTAAAGAAGCGTGGAAGACTTGATATTTCCTATTTGAAGTTCTCTTGGTTTCTCCATTCGACATATTTCAGGATGAGTACACTTCTTTTTGCTTCAGGCGTGCTCTTTCTTCTTGTGGGACTTTATGTCTCTCCCTCTATTGTCTTAGGCCTAATAGGAATATTGATAGTTTTTGTGATAGTCTTTGCATTGAAGTATCTTGTATTTTACATCAAGGAGTCGATCTTGGAGGACCAAAAGCCTCCAATTGCTGGTCCAATTCTAAATTACCTTGTACACTTCAATAGACTTTTCGATTATCAAACATCTGTTGCTAAGAAACATAGCACTTTTCGTCTGATTACGCCTTCGCATAGTGACATTTACACGGTTGATCCCCTTAATGTTGAATATATACTGAAAACCAAGTTCTCCAATTACGAAAAGGTGTCAGGCAATTGTTATTATCTTAGACTTTACCAATTTGTTATGGAAATTAACAGTGCAATTTGGCTGTCATGACGTTGCAGGGAGCCTATAATTATGGGATAATGAGAGATCTGTTTGGTGATGGGATTTTCGCAGTAGATGGACATAAATGGCGTCACCAGCGGAAGCTTGCAAGCTATGAATTCTCAACAAGAGTTCTGAGAGATTTCAGTAGTGCTGTTTTTCGGGCTACTGCTGCAAAATTAGTTTCGAAGATTACTGTTCCAGCAACAGCTTTGAAGAGCACGGATTTGCAGGTATCTGTCCTGCTACAAGTGGCAAATTTCCTATATTATTGTAGTTAGCATTATCAAATAACCATCTCAATTTAAAGTTGATATAAGTTAATAAATAATATATATTATTCTTTAACATATATTTTTATTGAAAATCCAAGATTGAAACTTGCATATGCTTATACTATTTTATACTCTCATGATCATGATGTTATTAAAACATTATATCATATTAAAAATTATCTCAATTCAAAAACTTAAACTATTACAAACAACAGAATAAAATTTTTTCACTTGAATTTTCTTGACAATTTTCAGTTTGATATATTTAAGAAATTATAGCTGGAGTAATGCCTCGATAAGTAAATACCACCTGCTATTTTGGAGACCCAAGAAGTTCCATTTTGGAGCTAGACAGAGATAGATTCAGCATAAACTACATGCCTCAGAACTTCCTTTGTAGCCTTCCTCTACAAAACAAGAGGATAGGATATATACAGCATGGAAAGGGTGTTAGATGTTCTTAAAGTTAATTCCAAGAACAATACAGATCAGATTAGTTTATCAATCAACTGTAACTTATACTATTTAATGATTTTTTTTTTCAGGATATGCTAATGAAATCGACCTTAGACTCAATATTTAAAGTGGGATTTGGGTTTGAGCTGAATGCTTTGTCTGGCTTGGATGAATTTGGAAGCAGGTTCACCAAAGCCTTCGATGACTCCAATAGTATCATATTTTGGCGATATGTTGATCTAATATGGGAGCTCAAAAGATTCCTTAATATTGGTTCAGAAGCCTCTCTTAAACAAAATATCAAAGTCATCAATGATTTCATTTTCGAATTGATTCGGTGCAAGAGAGAGCAGATGAAAACTGGAAAGCTTGAAGCAAGTAAACTTTTATTTTGATAGTGATACATGCAGCTTTTGATTTAGCATACTTGACTGTTTCTTGGTGAACAGGGAGGGAAGGAAGATATTCTATCAAGGTTTTTGTTGGAGAGTGAAAAGGATCCAGAGAACATGACTGATCAGTATTTAAGAGATATAACTCTCAATTTTATCATAGCTGGAAAAGACACATCTGCAAATACACTTGCATGGTTCTTTTACATGCTCTGTAAACATCCTCTAGTTCAAGAGAAGGTTGTACAAGAAGTCAGAGAAGCAGTTGGAATTAAGGAAAGTATGTCTGCTGATGAATTTTCGAAATTGATGACCGAAGAAACCGTGGACAAGATGCAATACCTTCATGCATCTCTGACAGAAACTCTCAGACTCTATCCAGCTGTTCCTCTGGTAAAATATTTGACAATAGTTACTCCCACCAGCATACAATACTGAGCAATGGACTTGGAAGTAGCCCTGTCATTGCCATGGTGGAACTGCATAATTTCTTGTATTTTAGCTTAGTTATGGAGGCTTGTCAAGTACTTTTACATGCTTCATAAATTGTACATCCAAAACCATAGTTGCATGATACACCACTGAGGTTGTCTTTATTGGATGCATGAATACCAGTTAGTATTCTTATTTTATTTCTGCACAACTTGTTTGATTTTCTTGAAGTAGTAATAATTTTCTCAATTCACATGGGAGTTGTTTGTATTTCCTCCAAATGCAGGATGGAAAGAGTGCTACAGAGGATGATATTCTTCCTGATGGCTTCAAGGTGAAGAAAGGAGACGACATAACCTACATGGCTTATGCGATGGGAAGGATGAAAAACATTTGGGGAGACGATGCTGAGGAATTTCATCCAGAACGATCGCTTCATGATGGCATCTTTCAACCAGAAAGTCCTTTCAAATTTACGGCATTTCATGTTAGTAACATTAAACCTATCAGTTTACTTGTGTTGCAATTTCTTTATGCATCTAATCTGCTTTTCTTTCTGTAACCATTCTTAGGCTGGCCCTCGCATTTGCCTAGGGAAGGAATTTGCTTACAGGCAAATGAAGATCTTGGCTGCTGTTCTCCTCTACTTCTTTAGGTTCAAGCTTGTGGATGCGAGGAAGGAAGCTACATATCGAACAATGTTTACCCTTCACTTAGATAAAGGGCTACATGTATATGCATCTCCCAGGCTGTAAAAGTCAAGTGTTGAGTGCGTGCTAATGTATTCTTCTTTGCCTTCCGTTTATGTATCTTAATGGACAAGTGGAATATAAAATATATACTAGACTGAGGTCTACCTACTTAAAAGTGTTAAATATAATGCTTATTGCAGAATGTTCATGTTCATTGCTTCTCTATCAGAATCACATGTCTAGGAAATTCATAACCTCACAGGTTTTGGAAAGAACATTTCGAACATTTGAACCTCACAAACCAGTCCGGGAAGAGACAGCACCTTCTTCAACATTCTTGAGACCATCCTCAACCTTGTTCTCTCCTGATGCCTTAGCTGTGTCATAGGAGGCATGTAATCCAAATAGAAAGTAGTATACCAACAAAAATCCAGTCCATGCAGCAAATCTTATAAATGATTTCCTATCTATTGATCCCAAAAGGAAAATGTTGATGAGAATTGAAGCAGATGGTAGCCATGGCACCAACGGAACACCCCATAATTTTGGATCCCTTGCTTGTGGAACAAGAAGCTTGAGTGCTAAAGTAGCACAGAACCATAATGGTATCGTGATCACATACCCAAGCCAACTATCTTCATCAGCAGTACCCCATATAACAGCCGTTGCTACTGAAGAACCAAGAATGGCCACAATGCACATGATGAGCTTGACGCGATTTTCTTGTGTTGTGATACCACTAACATAGTAGCGGCGCACGAGAAGAGCCAAAGCCACAAGCATGAAGATAAACAATGTTGAGATGGAAAGAAGGTTGGACAGAATATCAAGCTTGGTGAAAAAGCCAACGATAGCAGTTGCAGCAAGCATGACAATAGTGGCATTTACCGGGGTGCCAGTCCTCTCATTAACGTGAGCTAACCAAGGTGGCATCATGTGAGTGCGTGCAATATGTGTGAGATACCGCGCCTGCCCTACAGCAGAAACGAGCAGAACTGTTGTCATGCCTTTCAATGCACCAGCTGCCACAACGTACTTGGCCCAACCCCAACCTACGGTTTCGAATGCTACTGAAAATGGGGCATCCTCATCGATCTTCGTGTACGGTACCATTAAGCACAATGTTACTGCCATCAAACAATATGCCATTGTAGTTATGGACATTGAGCCAACGAGACCGATCGGGATATCTCTAGCAGGGTTCCTGGTTTCTTCTGCCATGGTGGCAACAGCGTCAAATCCAATATAAGCAAAGAAGAGCACAGCTGAAGCCACAAAAATACCACGGGCTCCATTGGGAGAAAAATCAGCGTAATTTTTCGTGTCTGCTTTGGCAAGACCAGCAACAATGATGAAGAGGATCACGACAACATGGATGATGGAAGCAATATAATTGAAGCGTGACGAGCCCTTGGTACTAAGGACCGCAAGGACACAAATGGCAGCACAAACGAAAACAGCAATGGGATCAAGGTGGCCATAGTCCTCAGGAAGGCTGTGGGCTATGAGTCGGAAGTCATCTGGTTTGTGGTTGCAAAGAGTGGCAAAGTAGGATGTCCATGACCTAGCAACAGCAGCTCCACCAATGACATACTCAAGTATTATGTTGCCAGCAGCAATGAAGGCCATGAAGTCACCTAGCTCTACCCTCAAATAAGCAAAAGAACCACCTGAAAGGAAAACATCAATCACAAGAACTTTCAATGTCTTGTTATATATTGCACAAACCTAAGAATGTCTATGTTTGGTAGCTGATGAGACCTAAACATTATTAAACACTACATTAGTATTGGCACCCCTGTTAAGTAAACTAACATTTTTACTCAGGTGGATTAGAAAAGAACTAGTGGCTTAACCATTGAATGATTAAGGTGATTGCTACCATAATCTTAATTAAGTCATTAATAACTACACCATTTCCAATGTAAAAATTAGGCAAATCTATATATACCAACATCCAAACACCCCCTGTACTTTCAAGTCATTTTCATAGACATTTCCTATGATCTTTCCCCACTTTGAGAAATATTACTTTTGCTTAGATTATCCTTTACAAATATAATATTAAAATAAGATAAATTAAATAGCGGTTATGTTTGTTATGTTTGCTTAGATTATCCTTTACGAATGTAATTATAAGACATCTCCATGTAAATGCACTAAAATGAAATAAGTTTGATAGCTGTTATTTTTAAAATATATTTTATTTAGAAAAGTATTAAAATAATATTTTTATATTTTTTTAAAATTATTTTTAACATTCATACATTAAAATAATTAAAAAATATAAAAAAATTAAATTAAAAAAAATAAATTTCAAACAGAAAAAGGTTACAAGTGGATAATTGTATTTTACGCAATTATCTAGAGGCCAAAACCATGAAAATGCTGTCACACATCGCAACAAGGAAAAGAAAAGGAGTCAAACTTGGTAAGCAATTGAAAGGTCAGCAAATGCAACGCCGACACGTATCTGCCTAACGGTTCCTTGCATTGACAAACATCATCAAGGAGTCAAGATATACAAGTTGAGGGCAGAGATGGACCCTTAGCTACAGTTTTATGTCGACAATTTTAAGGAAAGGTCAAACCTCGTCGTAACCATCGAAATAGATTGACTGCAAATCATCTCTTTCACAGTGTAATTTTATAAGATACATACAGTTTAAATAAAAAAAAATTAAGACCATACGACAACAGAATAAGTTTGTAAAAGGTACAACATTTTATATCAAATTGATTTTTCTTGGCCTATACTACGATATTTTCTAACCCAAAGATCGCCTAGTGCCATGTGATACCAAGTAATACAAGAGTGAGTTTGCTTGTGCCAGCTGCCATCTAATAATAATTATGAAAACTCTAATAAGTTGTATATGTATGGATTGAAGGCCAATTCATGTAAACTTTGAGAGCTCGGTCGAGTCCAAGGATCGAGTCAGGAGCCTGTCCTTGAACCTCATGGGAGTTTCTTTAAGTGCTTGAAGATAATTTCCAATGCTTTGAAACGATTCCTCTGGCAAGAAATCGTTCTTAGTACAGCTGCATCCACATCCCCTCCTCCTCCTCATCCCCTCTTGGTCTCCACCTTCTTGATGATCCCCATTAAAAATGCCGCCTACCATCTTTGTTCCTAAAAAATTGGAGAGAAAAAACAAATAAAGCCATGATAATTGAACACGAACAAAACAAGAACACAGAGAGAATTGAAGAGCTAATTACCTGATTAAAACTAATTAAGTTGTGGAGAACAGAATTAGAGAAGAAGGGAACGGTTTATCTCTCTCTCTCTCTCTCTATGTGTAGTGCAAGGCAGTAGAAGATGTATAGATGGATTCTTTCACCGGCTATGGGCAGTGATATATATCAACTAAAGGTTGACCGACTCACAGCTAGTAGGTTGCTGGCAATCTCTCCCACTTTCCAAGTTATTTTTCAAAAAAAGGGAATTGATTTTCTTGAGATGGAATCTGAATCCCCGAGAAAAGAAACAAAAAGGGTGGAATCTGAGTGATCTTGCAAGGGAGGGATGGAGGTTTAAGAATAACTAGGAAAGGCCAACGCAAGTAGGAGACTAATAGTGACGGTTGCGATAGACATCAGGACCTATGGATGTGGGCTGTTCGCCCACGTTCACATTGGTTGTGTTGATCCGAATTTCATGCCACATTAATCTAATCTATTATACAGGGTTTTTGAATAAGGGCAGCACACGTTATTGATACATGCTGGCCTTTTCACACACGCTGTCAAACATGCTTTTCTAAACGTGAAAGGAAACAAATTCGAAGATGATGAGAAATCTAAAATCTCATGCATGATATATGTATAGATCGTATATTTTTAAAATATTGAAATTATGATGTATTGGATAATATTTTTTTAAAAAATAATGATATATTAAATCGATCTAGATTAACTTGTAATTTAAATTTGAATGATCAGATTATGCTAATTTTATAAAATATAAATCAAATCAAATTAGAAAATTTAATTTCAATTAAAAATATATTAAATAAAAAAAATAAAAAATAAATATCTAACTAAAAAGAAGATCCCAACAAAAGCTAATATAGTAAACTTAGAAGAAAAGCTCAAAATCATAACATGAGAAATAAAAATAAAATTCTTTTAAAAACATTTTGGATAATATTTTTTAAAAAAATAATGATATATTAAATCGATCTAGATTAATTCGTAATTTGAATTTGAATGATAAAATTATGCTAATCTTATAAAATATAAATCAAATCAAATTAAAAAATTCAATTTTAATTAAAAATATATTAAATAAAAAATAAATATTTAACTAAAAAGAAAATCCCAACAAAAACTAATAGAGTAAACTTAGAAGAAAAGGTCAAAATCATGACATGAGAAATGAAAATAAAATTCTTTCAAAAAAAATTAATTTTTAATAAACTTATTGTTGAAAATTAAAATTATAAAAAAATTATAAAAAAAACTTAAGTTAACTGTTAAATTGATTAAAGTATATTTTTTATATAAAAAAGGTTAATTTAGTGATAAAAAATTATCCCACTATAATCTAAAAATGAATTTATTGGATTTATAAAAATCATTAGTGAAATCCACCTATTTATAGGTAATGTGCCAAATCTAACGGTTAATTTTATTTATTATTCTTAGGAAATGATGTTGACCGAGTTGTCCATGAGTTGGCAAAGGGATTTAAAACGTTTTGCATTAACTAATGAGAGAGGATTAAAGCATTGTTATTAAACTCACTTTTTCTTAGGAAAGAGGACCAAATTGGCATGATTATGAGAGGGAGAGCTAATTTTCCATCTTTTGAGGGTTAAAATCATCAAGAACGAACAAAAGATCAAAATTAACATTCGTTTCTGTGAGGTTAAGGAAACTTTGGAGGGCTGCTGCTTATTTGATTCAATGGCACATGTTGCAGAGACGTACATTGAAGGTTACTAGATTGCTTGTTGAGAAAACGGAAAATGACGAGGATGAAATATTTGCTATGAACACAAGGGAAGCTTGTAGAGTTGACTGTTCTGCTTTGGCGGCTCGAAAGATTTCAGTCTGAGGCTCCATGTTTTGGACTGGACCAACTTGCATGTTCACTTCTGTCATGATGCCCAAGTTTTTAACTCCTCTTCTTGTTCAATCCGGAGAATATAAACATATATGTGATCATTTTCAAACCCTCTAACAGGGACATGGTTATAAGAGATAGGTGCATCGTTAAAGTTGGGCTAGAACCATGGGCTAGAACCATGGGCCTTGATTGCGGTCACAGTCACTGCTGGGGCTGTTCCTATTAAATTATGTGTTCTTAATTATAGGTTCTAATGGCAGGTCCTAACATAGGGTTATGTTAATAATATAGATTTCGGCACGAATTGTGGCCTAAAAGGATACATGTTGGCCTAACACCAGGTTGTATAATACTCGTGAGAAAGCCTCATCTTTAAATTATGTGTTTTCAATCCTGGGAATTATTGAGGAGTCCTAGCATAGGGTCATGCTCATACCCTTTTGTCATGTTCTAACATGGATTTTGTCGAGAATTGTGGCCTAAAAAGGTAATCAGGTAATGGATATGAAATCTTAAGCATGTTCATAGATGAACTCCTGGTGTTATCTCCTGGCAGATGCAAAACAACCAAAGGTTGACTATAGAGGATTCGCGTTTTTCTTTGATATATGAAGATGTTGATTGGAGATCTCCATCATCCAGGTTTTTGACCTCATGTTTTGTTTATTTTTTGTTGCTGTTCTCCTTCTCAAAACCTACGTTTGTTTGGCTGATAATGTTATTTAGATAAAGTGCTGGTGTTCTTGGACTGGTAGTTTCTGTCAGTTGAGTCTCTTTGGCCTTACCTTTTCCTCAATTTCTAGCTTACGAAGAGTTTGCATTTGTTAGGCTATTGATTGACACATACTGATATCGTGCATTGTTGTTTGGGAGCTTTCTATATTTGAGGAGATATATAGGCTTCCATGTCGATATCGGGATGCACACACAATAGCTTAAATCCAACGATCATCGACACCGCTTCCAATTCAAAAGATTAGACTATTAGATTATATATTATGAGTTCATCTCATATATAAAACCCCTTTTTTTTTATAAAAAAAAAAAGTGAAATATTTATCACTCACATATGCTTGCGCCAAACAATCTCTTTGGCTTTATCTTTTCGTCGATTTCTAGCTTTAGGAGATAATGCATTTGTAAGGATATTGATTGACAAATTTTGGGAAAACAATCGAATTTCTCAATTGAAACTCTATTCTGAGGAACAATCCTTTTAGAATGTGTAGCTTAAACTGGTTTTCCTGATCTTTAGCAAATATCGTCATAAGGCATTAACCATTCAGAGAAGAATAAAACCATTCACTGTTTAATTGGGGCTTGGGATCTTTATATCTATAAACTATTGGTGCGCATTTTTCAATCACACCGCCCAAATAAAATGAGGAGACAGCAAGGACACTTTTTCCCACGAAGTGAAAAATATGAGGAGGAAATTCCATTTACCTTTATGCCTTCTTTAGACCTCCAGCATTCTTCCATGTGATTTGTAGCCTTCGTCCACACCTTCCTGTCTCTAATCATGTCTCCTTTGGGTGCCAAAAAGGGTCATAATGCAAACCAATGGAAGAGATCAACGGCACTGCTCTTGATTTGAGAATCTTAATCCTCACAATTTGACCCTTGACGACTCCCTTTTCAAGTCTATGCAGCCTCTTGTGCCCCACTGTAGTCCCTTTAGCAACCTTCCTACCATCTACGTAAACTTCATGTTGTTTGATCCTTTGACCAAGACCAATTGCTTCTTGAATCCTAATAACATTAAATCTTAATTTATCAATGCATTTGAACTCGATCCAATTATCTTCCGACTCTTCGTCTTTTGGTGCCCAATAAGTCCACAAATGGTCGCCATCTAGCACGTTTTCGGGTCCGAAATCGCCTTCCTTCCCCCCTCTTTGGCTGCTAGCTCTTACAAAGCAACTCTGAGCCAAATTTGTAGAAAATATGGTGTCGATTGCACCTCGGAATTCTTTTAGTCTCTGGACATCATTCTCAGATATAAGGCCGGTTGTGTTGGGTGGCACATTGAATAATAGCACACAATTTCGTCCTACCGAGTTGTAATAGATGTCAAGTAACACGCTTAACCTCTTTGGTGATTCTGATTTATGCCAAAACCATCCTTTTCGGATCGAAACATCACATTCTGCCGGCAGCCAATCTGTCCCTTTCGAATCACCAGTGTTGAGATAGCTGCTCCATGGAAATAAAGCTGTTAGCTGGGAGATTTCAAATGTTCTCATCACGCAAAGTTGCTTATGTGACTCACATGTGAAACTAAGCACACAGCTAATAATTGATCCGAGAAGTTTACCACTTTTGCTTTTACTTTAATTCTCCCTTTAGTTGCAGTAGTGCTCCTTGTCAACTTCAAGCGTTCACTTTTTTACTTCATTAAAAGGGCTCATTATTTTCGTTACTTACAACGAAGGGAAAAAGACATAATCAAGACCTGATGATTTGCAGAGACGTGATTGAATAGAGAAAAGTTCTAGATGGGTATCCTCTATATCAATACATGATTTTCAAACAATAAATGATTCGGGACCCATTAATAAATGTTCTCCCCACATTAATAATTCAAAGTCTCTCTTTTGGGCCCACGGTTGAATGATACAATTAGATTAACTTTCTTTTGAATATTATATTTTTACAGATGAGGCAGAAGATAGTTGAAAGATAGAAGATATATTCCTTGTATTTTCTGTTTTAAAATA